TCCTTTCTCACCCAGCTCCCACTTGATATTACATATTATCACTCAAACAGAAAAATAATTCCCAGGAAGAAAGCTATCAGGTGTTTCAAACTTAACTAATGGTTAAAAAGTCAATATAGTTATAATCTCAAGGGTTGCAATTGATAGTCTTGGATTACACAGAATCAAAGCCACTTTTCTCATCGTCCAGGGTGCAAAACTTCACCAAGGAAAACAAACTAAAACACACAAATACATCTGAATACACCCCCGCAATTGCTGTGTTAATGGTGAAATGAAAAGTAACCTTTATCCAACATGGCGATAMATTTTCGAGTAACGTGTATTAAAAGAGATATATAACAGTGCTTATTATATAGCGAGGATGTAACACACTATTTCATTGGCTAAAAATCGGGCCGTACTTTCCCGTACGGACCAGATGAAACGCGAAAAAAATCTTTTTTTAATCATTAAAAAAGCTCACTTTCTCTCTTGTTGTAGTTGTACGGTATAAACAGAGTCAAAAATGAATCCAAATTTTGCCATCGAGATTGACTTTCAAGAGGAAACATTCCATGCATTTGAATGAAGAGAAAAGTACGAAAAAAAAGGAATTTTTATGTCAGATTCTCTATTAATTTTACTATATTTTTCGCTGAAAATGCTATGTAATAAATATTTTATTAACCTCGCTTGCTCGAGACGTACGGGAAGTTATGGAACTTTGTTTTTTTCCACTTTTTTATGGCCCTAAGTCAGCGGAAAAAACTCGGTCCATAACTTCCCGTATGGCCCTCGCGCTCGGTTAATAAGATATTAATATGGAAGGAAAATACTAAGTCCTTGTCAGTAACTTGAAAACCAGACTTACCACTAACAAAAGGTTTTTCTCRAGTCTTCTAACTAGTGATATACCAATGGCTGGATTTTCCCAGTCGAAGTGTCTCCGAGGCCACACTATCAAAGAATTAAAATGAAATGAAAAAAAGTCGTCACCACTTTAGTTGTCAAAAATAGTGTATTTTCGCAGTCCAAGTGTCTCCGAGGTCGGACAATCAAAGAATAAAAATAAAGTCCTTATAACTTCACTTGTCTAAAACAGTACGTCAAAAAGTAAGAGATATTAGATAGTGGCTATGATACTGATGAATATRAATCAGCAATTGGGTAAAATGGCTTTGTGTCTTTATATTTTCATCTTAAAGTTAGTTTTACACTTGAAATGTTCAAAAAATGAACTTTGAAACAATGTTGATATTTTATTAGAACCACTCGTTTATTAATCATTTGTTTTTCATTCAGTTTTGTATGAATGTACAATATTGTTCCTCAGGCATGCCTTAAACATTTAGATCTCAACTGTTTCCGCAAGCCCATTTAGAAGAAATTTAAGAATCATTAACATTCCTCTAACAAACTTTTTAATCGAGATTTTAATACATTGCCATTTTCAATGTAAAATAAAGTCAATTTKCGCGCAAAGATCAAAAATCTGCCACAGGAAAGATTTACTAATGCCAAATYAAGTCATAGACTGAGTAAAATAACTAGAGCTATACTAGGGATATTTGCGTTGGTGTATCTTGATAAAATGATAAAAAGAAAGCAGAAAATAGTTAAAGATGTTCGWGATGTAAGGATCCATCTTGGTCGTTTTTAAGATTTTCAGATATGTAAAATGTGATGACTTCAAATATYAATTCGCAATTCCATCCATCAGTTCAAAGGTTCGAATCTTACCATATCCTTATTAATATAGCATAAAGGGATAATAAAGAGTAAGTTTTTGCTTATATCATGTACAAAAGCGCCTTGAAAGGGATGCCGGGGGAGCATGGCCCTTTAAGTGTATAATTTATCAATTCATATCTCACGAAGCTCAGCTGTTTTATTCTTTCTCACCAAAGTAAAAAAATAGCCGTTAAGCTAGCATTGATAAAACTGATGTTGTTTAAGTTTACGGATGTCTAAGTATACCATAAATAAGTATACTAGCTCTTGTAATTTAATAGTGTTGGCGAAAGCTTTTATGATAGTAATCTATGAAGGGCGTCATTTACAAACAAATTACGTCAGCAAGCAAATAACACACCACACCAAATGTTCAATATAGAGATTTGAATCGCGCTTGAATTGCGAAAATATTGTGAAATAGAAGGTATTTTTTGAAGTAAATAGCCACAGCTGCCACTTTGAACTTCTTGTGCGATCGGGTAACGTCTTGGGGGTTAAGTCGTAAAATTTAGAATAATTAGAGCTATAAAAAAGGCCGTCTAAAACCCGAGTACATATGAATAATAGCAATAATTTCCAGACAACAGAGAAATTTCTTTTTAAATCTAAATTTATGAAAAAACTGTTGACTTTTCCCTTTAAAATGGCGGCTTTTCGCCAAAAAGAAACCCGATGCTTTTASATATTTATTCAAAAAATGCCAAGTTGCWATAACCAGGTGTGACGTATGGGTCCACCGACTTAAAGGATGAACTTGGACAGATGTTCTAGCCACACAAAGCATCATGGGTAAMAAAGTCGAGTAAAATGATAGCCAGTCATTTGGGAATTAAATGAATAAATTATCCCAGTCATTTAAGAAGGTATCTAATCCAGAGACGCTCATTTGCTCAACGGAAGCGTCCACGACACTTCATTCGCTCTAGTGGAATCGGTATCTTCCCAAAAAAMTCCTTTAAAATCGGAAATTCGCTAGCGAGAAATAGAGTTACTTTCCGTTGATAACACCGTCAGTTGTGAAGTTTAATTTGGTCAGTTTACAAAGCTGAGATCATTGTGAATAAGGTAGGACAATTACAAATATTTAGTGCAATCTTCATTTTTTTACTTTTTCTTGTTACTTTAAATATTACCGAGTTTTTTTTAAGTCGTCGAAAATCTGTCAAATGAATTTTATCAAAGAACATGTATTACCAATTTACGTTTGAGGTTGAATCGATGTTTATGTTAAAAATAGAATGAAGTTTTTCAACCGCAATTTTGTTTTTCCTACGTACCAACCAAATCGATTGTTTTTGTGTAAAATTTTGATTTATATCAGACACGTTTGATCTATTTATCGAAAATATTTCATAAAATTTACCTCTCACGAAAAAGAGAACGAGAGAAAGGGAGAGAAAGAAAAGAAATCCAAAATACTGATGAAAACAGCCTGTGGTTTGTGTGAAAATCTATAATAACAAAGTGCATTCTTGGTATTGTAGTTAGACTATTAGGTTTAAAATTAGGTCTAAAATTTACTTCTCACAAAAAAATGACAACGAGAGAGAGAAAACAAAGAAAAGAAATGCAAAATACTGAAGAAAACAGCCTGTGCAGTCTATAATGAGAATCTATTATTACAAAATGAACACTGCATTGGTATTATAGTTAGACTATTAGGTTGGAAACTAGGTCTAAATTTACCTCTAACAAAAAACAAACAAACAAAAAAAAGACGAGAGAGAGAGATAGAGAGAGAGAAGAGAAAAGAAACCCGAAATACTGAGGAAAACAGCCTGTTTTGTCTATGAGAATCCGTAATTACAAAATGACCAGTGCATAGCTATTGTACGTAGACTATTAGGTCTGATGTACTGCTATTTATGAGCAGACGTTTATGAATGACTACCGTTGTCGGTTTCACCAATGCGGTAACCCGGCGGATGCATTTAAAGCCTTATAATGAAAATATGTTTTTAACTAGCTGTTTAAGTTAAAGCGCCATCTAAAGTATTGGAATTAAGAGGAAGGAGGCAGTAAGACCAAGTGGCGGTTTAACTTTATTGTTTTTTCTATAGTCTGAAAAACACCACGTGATCTGATAAACCACGTGSTTTATTCAACCAATCAGAACTATTCTTTCTAGCTTGTCACTTGGCACAATCGATTTAACGCTTTTCATAAATCTAAGACACACAAAGCTTTTAAATCTGCATTAGATAAGCTATTGAACAAAAATCCTGGCAGCTTGAATAAGAACCCGAGACGATTTAATCAAAACTTGATGAAAAATCGAAGTTGAGATCTGACAGATGACGAAAATGGGCCTTGAAAATTTGTTCAAAGAATAAATCGATAAAAGCAATGTTCAAAAATGTTTACACACTCATTACGAGTTTATTAGTTTCTTTTATTCATTTAACGAGGTATACGTTTATTCGGCAATTTTTTGGAAGAGTCAATGACGATGTCGAACGAGACGGGAGTAACTCAAAAGATGCTAAAATTGCGCGCAACAAATTGTCCATCTAAAGTCAGACAGGAAAATACTCACATAAGAAAGAGCACTAATCTTATTATCTAATTATACACCAAACAGCTCTGCCTGCCATATGTGTGGATTTAACTAATCAGTCCCTTGGAWATGAGACAGAATATCAACCTTTGAGTTGAATGTAAGCGATGAGTCTMGGGTAATATGGCGCATCTTGTTTGAGATATACGAACCATTCGTAATTGGCTGAATGATCCTTTGATTCCGTTCTTTTGTCATCCTGGACCAAACTTTACATCAGTTTGTACTTTCAATTTACTGACAATTTGATATGACAATCCTATGCTCACACAGTATATTGAGCATTTTTCTAATTTACCTTACTATATTAAACATCAATTTCTTTCTTGTCATTTTCCCTTTATTAAATCCTTTTGTTTATTCGTTTTTTTTTTCTACCGGAGGAATCGGAATTATCGAGGGTTCACTGCTGCGATCTCACAAGAAGGCGGTGTGTTTTTTAGTCTCCAGCGGATTTATATTTGTCAAAATATCAATATGAAGTGACTTAGGTTCTATTGACCTGTACAGCTTGTTCGCGCCTTGAGCCATAAAACGATAAATCATTGGTTTATAAAAAATCGCTCCAACTACCAGACTACGTTAACGTGAATAAAAAAATCACTCCATATGCTTTAGTGCGGATATAAAACATTGCTTTGTACATTTACGTGCGTATCTCAGTAGATAAAGAAATCGCTCCATACGTTTTTCTGTGCGGATATAGAACATTGCTCTATACGTTTACGTGCGTATCTCAGTAGATAAAGAAATCGCTCCATACTTTTAAATAAGTGTGGATCTCAATGGACGAAAAAAATCGTTCATTAAGTTTCCGTGTGGATCTCATTAGATAAAGAAATCGCTCCATACATTTCCGCGCGTATAGCAATRAACATAAAGAGCGCTCCATACGTTTCCGTACGTATCCGTAAATCAGATATTAGTTTTCGATATCCAGCACTGTTAAATGCTTGCCATTCCGTTATCAATGCATTCATATCGAACTGTACAGTTTGTAGTCACACTGTCGCCAGCACCGCAAGTGGCCGACGATTTGATGGGTTCGTTAACGTATTTCTCCACACCGTAATACTGAACTCACAGCGTTCCGTTGATCATTTACACAGAGGTGTATAACATATGTTGCAGGCAACACGTTCGGCAAGGTACGTTAATATTATGTTAAGTAAAACTGTYCTTCAAATGTATTTATTCSTGCGAATGCAGCTAGAAATAGCAAACAGAAAACTATACGTAGCGTTTCTTTTTCGATAAATATAARTATAGCTGTTCAGCAAGAAATGCCTCGATTATCCGTTTATTTTTTACGTGTGAAAACATTAATCAAACGTTATTATTCCAGCCCACGCTAGTTTAYACCAGAAATAACAGGCAGATTTTTGAGACTTTGCTGACGATCTTTTTTAGACGTAGATGCTTTTCTTGACGTCTAGATTCTCTGATACTGCTTCAAAGTGACAACCAAATTTACGTGTATTTTCCAAGTTTTTTGAAGGAAATAGTAGCCACAGACCAGCCACAGATTTGAAAAATTGTACGCACGCTTTTTTTAATACGCGTTGTTTGGACAAGGTTTATGCTTTTTCTATTATGCTACGTTACGCAAAAACGTAAATTAAATGGCTATAATACAATCGGTTTGTTATTAGAAATACTAGCAAGAAGACTTGTAAACGCGCGTATTATTTGATATTATATGGTTAGGTAAGGATAGTCTATATTACGCAAGAAAAAAAACGTACATGATATGTCTTTAATGCAGTGATTATTAGTAGAAATAGCAAACAGTCCTCCTACGTATTAAACTACACGCACGGCTCCTCTTTACGTATGCGCTGGAAGAAATACTTCTTTTCTACGTTAGCTAAAGAAATTCAGTATTACACTAGGCAAAAACGCATGATTATTACTAGAAATAAACGAACAGGTCTGCATGCGTGCTCTCTCTTTACGTATGCGTTGAACCAGGTACTTCTTTCCTACGTTGGGAAACTACTTATAGTGATTACGTGCACTCTCTTTACGTATGCGTTGAACCAGGTACGTCTGTCCTACGTTGGGAAACTACTTATAGTGATTACGTGCGCTCTCTTTACGTATGCGTTGGACTAGTTACGTCTTTTCTACGTTGTGCAACTATCTATAGTGATTACGAACGCCCTCTTTACGTAAGCGTTGGACTAGGTACGTCTTTTCTACGTTGGGCAATACAGTGATTATCATACAAAATAACAAAGGAAGTCTGCGCGTGCGGTCCTCTTTTGGATTGCACTTATTTTTTGCGTTAAAAGGTATCTTTATCATGAAAACGTTTGAAATTCTTTTCTGCATATAAATGCATAGCTTATGTAAGATATCAAGTGCGATATCGCTTCCGCAGACTTCAGTTGATTATTTTCAAGGCATAGCAAATATCATATGAAACGTTTGTGGAACGCTGAGTTTTGAAGAAACTTACGTAAAGAGGACCCGGGTATATTGCTCTCAGGTTTCAAAAATACATTTAGAAAACACATTAGGCAWTGTCCGCACGTAAGCAATTTGAAAACGATCAAACTATAAATAGCTATCTATTTGGAYGTTTACGTCCCGTTCATCCGTAAATGGCTATTTACGCAAACGATTCTATTGAATACGGAGTTAATTGTTTGAATGAAATGTTTACAAAGCGTGTACGCGTCGATGGTGCCTAGAAGGTATGGGGGCGTTTTCTCGGCTGCGTTTTCTTTTATAAACTGAGTTTTTTTTTATGTGAATGAAAGTTTAGTCGAACAGTTGGGTGCTTGGTTTTTCAGGAAATGCCATTTCTGACCTTTAATTGAGCCGTAAAACCATGAGTGAGGTTTTAGTGATTCAATAATATAGAATTACCTTCTAAGAAGATTTTAGGATCACTAAATATGATCCTTGATATTGATTAGGTTTGCTTATTGCTTTTTTATCTTATCATTGTCGATATAACCACACTAATATAAAATCTACTTACGTTTATCTAGTTCATAAGTAATAAGAAAACCCGCTTTGCGTTAAATTAACGTCCACACGATGCGTTTTTAGATTGCTTTTCGTCCTCAAGGGAATCGAATAATAAAAAACGTTACGTGAATACGCCTTAGTGTAGAGTCTGAGACAAGCCCTTAGAGGCATTAGTTACGTAAGACCTCGTCTCGTCCGTAATGTTGCGTTTTCCTAKTGTACGTTCTATTACACTCCATTCTCAAGCGAATGAAAAATACTWCAAAAGCTTCAGTGAGTCCAGATACAAGTGACAGAAGGACATCTAATCAAATCACGTGGTACACTATCCTTGTAGGATTACAGAAGGAAATGTGAGAAGCAACTGGGAGAGGTCGGGATWTAATCACAGAAACATTTATAACAGAAAAAGTCTAATATTGCTTATCTTTGTAAAATCCACTATAGCATTAACAATGGATGCTACAACAGAGACAAATACGATTTCCTGAGAAACCGTCAGTAATATTTATTACGTTTTTACGTAAAC